GCCTCCGACGCTTCGGGGAAAATAATTCCAACCTATTCAGCCCTTTCCCTACAGCTCAAACCCTCCAATGCCGGTAACATCCTTGTAAACCCTTTCTGAACCCTTTCAAGTTTTACAATTGGATGATGTTAAGATTGAGACATTTGTTCGTGTGTATCAGACATTATGGAACAGTCAGGATCTAACTGAATTGATGGCCTGAATGGCCTCCCCCTTTATTAAGGTGTCATTTGCTTCTTGTAATTTGATTAAAAACCGCGGCCATCTGACCCCCACATTCAGTGAATTAAAAGTCACCAGTGAGTTAATCCAAAAAAAAGCAGATTTGTTTATCTCTCTCTCTCTCTCTGAGCATATTCCCTACTCACAGAAATAACATCACATCCCCCATCCTCTGGGCACACAGTGAGAACAGAGATATGTTCAGTATGTTCAATGTTCAATGGTCAGTATAACTGTACTCCCCGCTCATACCTACTTCAAACCCGGCTGTCTGTTTGCACAAATCCACTGAGACAAAAAAAACCTCAACCCACAAAAAACGAAACTGGGATGCTCTTCGGAGGGATGGTGTGGACGAGATGGGCCGAATGGGCTGCCTCCATACTGTACGGATTCTAGGATATCCAAGGAGAGAAAAGAGGCCTCTACTGACATCTGGCTCCTGTCTCATAAGTAATAAGTTACATTTATATAGCACCTTCCTCCAACCTCAGTACATCTCCTAAAAGTGTTTTACACCCAATTCAGGGACTGTCATTGCACATTTGCACACAGTTACCTCCTGCAAACACCAAAGAAATGAAGCAGATTTTTTTTCCCCCGAGTGTACTGTTGGTCAAGGGATTAATGTTGGCCTGGACACAGGAGAAGGGTTGGGGGGTGAGAGCGAAAGAGGAAGAGATCCCTTGCTTTTCTTAAAACACTGGATCTTTAAACATCCCCCGGTGAGGACAGACGGGGTGCTGAGTCGGTGTCTCCAACAGAGCAGCGTTCCCTGGGGAAGCGGGAAAGATTGGGTTGTGAAACAGGTTGCAAGAGAGAGAGGTGGGGAAAGGGACAGGGAGAGGAGTAAACCCTCCCATCTTGACTGCCAGTCAGAGGAACGGAAAGGCTAGTGAGAGGCGAAGCCCCCACCCTCGCCTTATCTAGAGAGTGGTGGAGGGGGGCTCTGTACTACTGCAACAGAGTCTCTGAGGAGCCCAGGGATGGGAGGCGTCTATTCAACACTGGGGCTGCTCCAGGCACACTCAAACCTTGCACTTAAAAAAGGAATAAACAGGGAGAGAAGTGAAGGGGGACAAAATATTCAAATCAAATCTCGTTTGCCAGGATACATAGCCTGGAAGGGGGCGGGGGGGCTACTGACCCTTCCCTTGTTCTTAAAGGCGCCACGGCTGTGTGGCTGAGATCAGACAGAAACTAATAGGAACTTCACCAGGTAACTGCAGGGACCTTTTAAAGTGTACAACACCCTGGGGGGTTGGCTCCACACAACTCTCACAGATTCAGTCAGACTCTCCACATCTCTTTCTCTCTCCTCTAAAACCCACCGCCCATGAGGGAGGGGGAAAAGAGTGTTGAAAGGAAGAAGGCGGAGTGCAATTTAAAAGATTTCTTTGACACAAAGGCGAGTGTAGAAACAAAAGAGCCGGGAACTGAACGCGGAAAATTTTCACCACGCCGTTGAGAGAGATAGAGAAAGGTGTGCGGCAGAAATTTACCCCTTGGTCAGTTTCAATCTGATACACTTCACTCCCTGAAATCAAACTTTGAAAACATTTCTTTCATACCTCCTCGGCTCACAAAGTAAAAACGGAATCACCATCGTCTTCAGGAGGAAAGAGAATCCCTCTCGCCTCAAACACTGGCATAAGTTTCCCAAGTTAGTAAAAAGTTACTCACAATATTCGCTATTACTCCGGCCGCTCGCCCCTGTCTGTACCTTCTGCAGCTCTGTTCCTGCCCCATGTCAATCAAACAACCGCAGCCAATAGGAAGGCATCTAATTAGCATGACAAGCCCCGCCTCTCCATCACGTAGTCACGCCCCCCTTGGGTTTCCCAGCCACTCGCGTGCCCCACAACCAACCAGAGGGCAGGCAGTGCTGAGCACTGTTCCTTGGGTTATTGGCACCTCTGACCTATTTCCAACTTGCCCCACACCCACCCACCGACAAAGTGCTGGCGATCTGCTGTCCTGAGCTGCCTGGCGAAGGTGGTCCCATTTGGGCCCCCCTGCCTCGGACACATGCCCCAGGGTGGGGTCCAACCCAAAATTCAGGACTGCGTGCTGAGGGGCGCACTAAAGCTTGGGTCAGCTGCTGCCAAGGTGCATTGGGGAAAGACCACCGTCTGGGGTCTTCCTGCTGAAGGTAAATGTGGGTCCGTTCAGTTATTGGACCCTCCCACTACCTTAGTCTGGTTAAAGGGAGAGATGCCTTTGGTTTGTTTGGATAGAGTCAAACTCCAATGTTTGTTTGTTTCCTTGATATGCTACTGTGCAGAACTGAACTGTGTTTGTGTCTATATATGTATAAAGATATTTTTCATAAACAAAATATATTTTTGAAATTAAAAATGTGGGACCCCAAGGAACAGATGCAACAGAATGTGATGGGATTGGAACTATGAGGAGACATTCCCTAGTTTAAGGATGAGATTTCAAAAACACTTTTTAATTCCTTTATTCATTCATGGGATATAGGCATCACTAGCAAGCCCATCCCTAATTGTCCTAGAACTGACTGATTTGTTAGAGAGTAGTTAAGAGCCAACCACGTTGCTAAGGGTTTGGAGTCACGTGTATTAGACAGGGTGAAGATGGCAGATTTCCCTCCCTAAAGGGCATTAGAAGGGAAGTTCAGGTGGTCAGTATTGTGAATAGGACTAGGAATCGAGAGAGCAGGAGATGGGACTTATCAACTAGATAAGTTCAGGGAGTGAGTGAGGGGAAGATGAGGAGAAAGATACAAGTTCACAGCTAAAGCCTGAGGTGGGTGGATGGGTAGTGCTGCCTGATAGGGCGTTCAGCTGGGTGATGTGGGGAAGGGATTACCAGAATACATATGAAGTAGGAGTAGGCCACTCAGCGCTGGGATTACAACACCATGGCTGATCCCATACATTTCTCATATCCCTAAATTCCCAGAGTGCGAAACTCTGTCTATCTCACTCAAGAATTGAACTCCATGGTGTCAATGGGAAAGGGTTCCAAAGATTCTCAGCTCTCTGAGTAAAGACATCTCTCCCTATCTCAAACAGGCCTTATCCTGACAATGGTGCCACTTACTCTACTGCTAAAGAAAACAGCCTCTCTGTATCTACCCCATTAAGTCCCATTGGAATTTCATATGCTTCAATGAGATTACCTCAGATCCTTCTAAACTCCATACAGTACAGGCTCATTCTACTCAACCTCATCAGTGGGACAACATTCCCACGTCAGGAGCTGATCTTGTGAACCTTCCCACCTCCAAGGCAATACACACTTCCTTAGAAATGTAGATGGAACTTGTAAACTGCACCCCGGGGAAGGCCCCACTAGAATCCTGATGAGTCGTAGCAAAACTGTCTTCCTCTTGTTCTGCAGTCCCCTTGCAATAAATGTATTTGTGGTACCTGCATCTTGTACAAGTATCCCTCCAAATCCCTTGGAACATCAGCACTCAGCAGTTCTTGAACGTAGGGAACTTTGAAAGATCACGGTCTGTCCTTCCACTACGTTTGTATCCACCTCCTCCCTAGAATGTAGATCACCAGCTCCAAAGGATCTGTACGCTTTAATGCCCATTCATTTCTTTAGTACCTTCTGCTGATAGTGATAGTTTCTCATTTGTTTTAGATCCTTGTTTACCGAATATATCTGCTTTGTGTCATCAGATGTGACAACATACAAAGAAACAAATAGATGTCTCAGTGGTTAGCACTGCTGCCTCACAGCGCCAGGGACCGGGGTTCAATCCCAGCCTCGGGCGACTGTCTGTGTGGAGTTTGCACATATTCCTTGTGTCACATGAGTTTCTGCTGGGTGCTCCAGTTTCCTCCCACAATCCAAAGGTGTGTAGATTAGGGTGGGTTGGCTATGCTAAATTACCCAGACTGTCCAGGGATGTGCAGGCCATAGGGTTAGACATGGGAAATGAAGGGTTATAGGGCAGGGGATGTCGGTCTGGGTGAGATGCCCTCTGGATGGTTGGTGTGGGCTCAATGGGCCGAAGGGCTTGCTTCCACAATTCTATGATTCTGGATGAATTAGGAGTCAGAGTAGACTGTTTGGCCCTGGGAGTCTACTCCAATATTTGACCCCACTGCCCTCTGACATCCTTGTCATCACCTAATTTTAAAATGATTCAGTTTCCCTACCTCCACTGGGGAAGAGAATTCCACAGCTTAATCCTGGGAAAGAAAAAAAATCATCTTTGCTTTAAACAGGAGACTCCTTATTTTGAAACAGTGACCCCTAGTTCCAGTTTCTCTCACATGGAGGAACATCCCTTTAGCATCCACTCTATCAAGCCCCCTCAGGATCTTCCATACTTCAATAAAATTACCTTTTGTGCACTGAGCTGGGATTAATTCATGATCTCCTCTGAAGGCGGGTTAGGTAGTAGTGACCATAATATGATTTTTTTTGAGGGAGAGAATAGAGGGTCTGAGACTACTTCTCAATTTTAAGATAAGCGCAATTATATGGACATTTAGGCAAAGCCAGCGAAAGTTAATTGTCGAATTGGGGTAAAGGTAAGGTCAGTAAAGATGCAGTGACATTAACAATATTTCTGAACCACTGAAAAGATACATTCCAACCAATATGAAAAATTCCAAAGGGAAGGCCTATCATTCTTGGTTAATCAAACATTTTAAAATTAGTATCAAACTAAAAGGAAAAGCATATAATTGCGGCAGGTTAAAAGATTGGTCTGATTATAAAATAACAGCAATGAGTGGCCAAAGAATGGAAAAGAGGTGAGATTGTGAGAGACAGCTAGATAGAAATATTAAAGCAGATAGCAGGAGTTTCTATAAATATTTTAAAAAGGTTAACGACATAAGCATTGATCCGATATGGTGAATCTGGGGAATTAATCATAGAGAAGAAGGAAATGGCAGATGAATGGAACAAGTATTTTGCAATATTTCACAGAGAGGATACAAGTAAGATCTCAGAGGCCGTGATAAATCTGGAAATGGGAGGGAGGAACTCAGGAAAATCAAAGACCGTAAGATATAGGAGCAGATTTAGGCCATTCAGCCCATCAAGTCTGCTCTACCATTCAATCATGGCTGATATGTTTCTTAACCCCATTCTCCAGCCTCCTCCCAATAACCTTTGATCCCCTCACTAATCAAGAACCTTTCTATGTCTCTTTTAAATACACCAATGACTTAGCTTCCACGGCTCTCTGCGGCAATGAGTTCCAAAGAGTCACCACCCTCTGGCTGAAGAAATTCCTACTCATCTCCATTCTAAAGCATTGTCCCTTCACTCTGAGGCTGTGCCCTCAGGTCCTAGTCTCTCCTACCACTGGAAACATCGTTTTCATGTCTACTCTATCCAGGCCTCTCAGTATTCTGTAAGTCTTAATCAGATTCCTCCTCATCCTTCTAAACTCCAGAGAAATAGTAGACAATAAATAATTGCCCTTGAGGGATGACAAGTGTTTGGGTTCTTAGGGACTTCATTCCAGGGTCTTAAAAGACGTAGTTAGTGAGATTGTTGATGCATTGGTTTTAATTTTCCAAACCCCTTCGATTCGGGCAAGGTCCCATTAAACCAGAAGATAGAAAATACCAGTCCTTTATTCAAAAAGGGAAGGAGAGAGAAAGCAGGAAACTACAAGCCTGTAGGCTTAACATCTGTCATAGGGAAAACATTATGAAGCTGTAATTAACTGAGTTATAACAGGGGAATTGGAGATGTTCAAGGTAATCCACATTCCCGCTATCTGTGATAACCTTTCACTCCCTCACTTTACAAGAATCTAACCACCTTTGCCTTCAAAATATTCTGTTTCAACCTCCTTTTCAAGAAAAGAGTTCCAAAGGCTCATAATCCTCTCTAAAAAAAAATTGCCTCGCCCCTGTGTTAAATGGGTGACCCCTGATTTTTGAACATTGACCCCTTGATGTAGATTCTCCCAAAAGCGGAGAATCTTTTCCACATCCTTTCCAGACCCCTCAGGATTTTAGATATTTCAACCAAGACACCTTTAACCCTTCTGAGCACCAGAAAATACAAACCCAGCTTGTTCAACCTCTCCTCATAAGACAATCCTCCCAACCCAGATATTAGTCTGGCAAACTTTCTCTAACTCGTATACACCCTTCCTTCAAAATGAAGAACAGAATTGGACACAATACCGCAGATGGGGGTCTCCCTAGTCCTCTGTAGAACTGAAGCTTAACATCCATGCTTCTGTATTTAATTTGCCTCGCATTAAATGATAGTGTTGTATTAGATGTTTTTAATTACTTGCTGCACCTGCGTACTAATATCTTGTGATTCATACACCGAGACTCCCACATCTGCAATCTCTCACCATTGAGTAACAGTTTTTACAAAATCTAGGGATCATGTTTAGAAATCAGGGGATACCTATTTATCGTAGAACCCCCCTACAGTGTGGAAGCAGGCCATTCAGCCCATTGAGTCCACACCAAACTTCTGAAGAGCATCCCACCCAGACCCATCCCCCCTTTCCCAATAACCCTGCATTTCCCATGGCTAATCCACCTAGACCCTGCGCACTATGGCACGGCAAATCCACCTTAACCTGTACATCTTTGGATTGTGGGAGGAAACTGGAGCAAACCCACGCAGACACGGGGAGAATGTGCAAACTCCAGACGCATAGTCACCTGAAGCTGGTATTGAAGCTGAGTCCTTGGTACTGTGAGGCA